ACATATGCCAGTGACATCTGCAAAAGAACGCCAAGGGTAAGCAAATCCATAGAAAAAAATAGACAAAACAAATTCTCGTTTTGTTTCACCCTCTAAAAATATGAGGTAAAATTCTGTCGTGTAGGTGAATTTTAAGCGTTTTCACATAGGGTGATAAAAAAATCCCTGAAAACATTACGAAATCAGTCCCCAAATTTCTATATCCTCATATTTTCTAAAAAGCTCGAAGGCAAACAATGCAGGCTGTGCAAACTAAAAGAATACAATTTTTGGCATTCTGTTGACAACTATATACCAAAGGTGAAAGTTCACACTTTGGAGGCCTTTAAAAAAAAGGGCTCTCTTAGTCTTAAAGGTACGGTGTTCGTCTTTTAGTTAAAAGAACCCTGGGTAAAAACCTGCCAGTGGCGAAAAAAAACTTCTCCTTTGTCCTCCTGTCCTGTTCTCTAGTCTTGCTCTGTCATTTGCATTCCTCTCCACTCTCTCACCCCACCCACCTCCCTCTCTGCTCCACTCTCCCTTATTTTTGACTCTTTCTACGGCTACTCCTAGCTCCTTCGCAGTGCTGTCTTTCAACCATATCCCTGATCTGTCAAAGGCTGGACAATTTTTCAGCACTGACATGTGTTACACAAAAGACACCAAGAACAAAGGTAAGAGGCAGTATAATGGCTAAGGACCTACAGTGTTAAGATAATCATTTGAATCTTCCATCATCCAGCAGTGGTAAAGCACAAAGAGCACTGTCATTTAGGGCACTTTATAAATGCCATTATCAATATATCATGATGATAATAATATAATAATAATAATAATAATAATAATAATAATAATAATAATAATATAATAATGATGATGATGACAATAATAATAATAATAATAATGATGATAATAATAATAATAATAATAATAATAATAATGATGATGATGATGATGATGATGATGATGATGATGATGATGATGATGATGATGATGATGATGATGATGATAATTTAATGAAGATAATGCTATTGATATTAAAAATAAGTGGTGGTGGTAGTAGTAGTGGTGGTAGTAGTAGTACGTGTAGTAATAGTAGTAATGGTAGTAGTTTTCTGAGAACTATTATAGAGACCTGACATGTGTACCGGTAGAATAAACAAAAACATATTCTTCATGTGAATATTATTGATGGATCAACTTTTACAAATGACAGCTTAGACAAAGAGACCACATAAGAATGAAAACTTTCTACAATGATCATCACACCTTTGTCTTCTTTATAATAGTGAGGGTAGAGGTAGGGATATGTTGGGAACACAAGGAAGGTACTTCAGGAAATTGTTGCAGGCACCCAATATCTCAATGAAAATCTTACTGCTTTCCTAGCAAAGAGAAAGTAGAATGAATATGATCTTTTTCTTTTTCCTTTCTCTTTTTTTTTCAAGCTAAGAATAGTTAAAATTATAGTTTTGAGACATGAATATTTTAGAAAATATTTCAAGGACCAAAGTAAGATCCACAACAGACAGCAGTCTGGTGTCAGTTGCCAGTGATTACCACATATTTAATGTGGGGAATACCACATCACAATAATAAAGATAGAGTTGTACAAATATATCTGAGGCAACATGGTGAAATCCAGCGCTTGTCAAAAAAATGAAATCAAAGAAATTGGCACTTTTTAGATGGATAGGGAATTAAAAAATTTTTTTCCTTTTTTGGCTCAACACCTTTTATGTCCATATAAAATCACATTTCTATGTGCATTTTACTGAAAAATATTTAAAGACAAAAAATATGACATTTTTCAGTCTTCAAATACTCTTTAGCTCTTTGGAGTTACCAAACTTCAGCGGTTATTTTCTCGCTAATTTGGCCACTGAAACAATTGCAAATATCTTGAGTTCCATTCAAGATAGATGGGTATTTCTTTCAGTGGAAGCAAGGCAAATAAATCAGCTTTCAGATGATATAAAAAACTCCACATACCCAAAAATTGAGGAGCGCCTGATTCCACCACGTTGTGACAAATATGGAGGTATATGAATCTGCACCTTGACTAAAAAGGTAAAGGTAAAGGTAAAGATAAGGTGAGTGTGCGTGTGTGTATGTGTGTGTGTGTGTGTGTGCGCGCATATATATGTGTTTATGACTGTGCATGTATGTGTGTGTGTGTGTGTGTGTGTGTGTGTGTGTGTGTGTGTGTGTGTGTGTTTGTGAGTGTGTGTTTTATACATAAATGCACAATACTTTACTTAACAGAATAAGGTCATATGGTTCCAGAAAAAAATAACCCCAAAAATGAAAATACTAAGTATTAGTCAGTATGTGATGACCATATGATGGATTAAACAAGGCAAGGAGGGCGGGCTTTTAAATGGCAAGCTCAATATAGGATAGGAATTAAAATCAAATATTTTACATTTTGACATTAATTGCTTCTTATGAATATGGGATTGGAAGTTACAGAGATGGGAGTGATTAGTTACTGTCAAGTCCAATATTTGTGTCAGCATGATTGTATATATGTGTGTGTGTGTGTGTGTGTGTGTGTGTGTGTGTGTGTGTGTGTGTGTGTGAGACAGAGTGAGAGAGAGAGAGAGAGAAAGAGAGAGAGAGAGAGAGAGAGAGAGAAAGAGGGAGAGAGTGATTGTCAGTTTAAGGCGGGAGTATATGTTATTCTCTTTCACTTTCAGAATTGAATATTATAAGCAGAGCACAGGATTTTCCCTAACTCTCAATATATATAGCGACTCAATGACATTTCATGACATAATATTAATAAATAATAACAATAAATAGCATTTGTATAGCGCATTCCCCGCTCAACAGCAGGCTCTATGCGCTTTACACTATATTATTACCCCAGCAGACTATAGAACACCCCGAAATATTCTCAGCTTCTCGGGAAGCATACAATGCAAGCAGCTGATTAAGCGCTCAAACACTAACAAATGGACAAGATCTTTTGCTGTCTTTAGCCCGGTACTCATTCCCACCTAGGTGAAGTGAGGAAAATTCGTGTAAAGTGCCTTTCCCATGGACACAACGTCAGACCCCTGACGGGATTCGAACCAATGACCTTACGGTTGCAAGTCTGAGAGCCTAACCACTAGGCCACCGACGCCACTCAATTCTATTTATTCTCAATACTATACAGGAATATAATACGGATAATGACTTGAGTCAGAATAAGTATATCAATTTCAATCCCATGGACAGTCGCATGATGTTTCTGCTATCAGCGACAAGGATGATGTCAGAACAAACATTATTGTGTATTAAGCTGTTGATTTTATGATTTCTAAAAAATCTATTCACACTTATGTCTTACTTATGTATGAGTGTAAATTCATTCATGTAACTTTCAAAAGAATCTGTGATAAATTCCTGCATGTGGTTTATATGACGTACACCTGATGAGAAATGTACTAATAATTCAGCTTAATTTTTTCTGCATTATATTGATCATATTAAAAATTTTTTTTACGAAAGTAGATCTAGTCCTAACATAAGTCTTTGATATATCTTAAGGCATGTTTTATTTTCTTGTCTTTAAAACGTAGCAGTAGTAGTAGTAGTAGTAGCAGCAGTAATTTAGACTCTAGATGCCCTAGTAGTAGAGTAATAGAATACTGCCAAAATTGGCGGTTCTAGGCATTTACACACATCAATATTCATGTCAGCATTGACAGCATGGTTCCACGACCACAGAGAAGATGAAGGCAGCAATTTACACACAATGGGTAGAATAAGGAAGGGAAGCTGGTGTCTCTAGAGGGTCGGGGAGAGACAGGACCTGCGTGGAAAAGCCAGAAGAATAACTGTTAACTGAAACGATCAGTAGGCAGACCCTTTCATGGATCCTGGAGAGGAGGGAGAAGCAGCTATGGCATGGCATTTATTGTGCCGCCAGCAATGATGCCTATTCTCCAACCAAGTAAGTAAGTTAAGTACTGCCAAAAGTGAAGAAAGTTTGAAAGAGTAATTCGAGGGTTTTAGATCTAATATATATCTAGATATAGATCTAGATCTAGATCTAGAATCTAGATCTAGATATCTAGTCACATAATAAATGAAAGTGGCTATTCTCACCCGCCCGGAAGTTCTCGCAAGATCAACTCCTCCCCTCTTCTCTCTCTCTCTGTCTCTTTCTGAATACTGTCTATCAGTGTGGACGATCAAATTGACCAAAACAAAGTTAAAAAATGATGTTAAAACACAAAAGTAAATTAATTTGGTTGTCTACAAAGATGCTACGGCTATTTAACTTTTCGAATCGAGCCGAACTACGCGGGTCGCCATTTTGTTTTGCCCGGAAATTCTCGCGCTACTCCTCTCTCTCTTTCTCTCTCTCTCTCCACTGCCCACAGACAAAATTGTACGCTTTTAGTAGGCTACAGTTGTAATGGAACGTTTGTTCATGGCACAGAATTCTACAATTTTTCTGTTATCACAGTGTAGAATTCTGTGGTTTAGGGTGAACGCAAAATTTGGTGAACGCGCACCGGGTGAGAATAGCCACAAGACTCGCCTGCACTATTCTCACTCCGGGTGAGAATAGAGGTGGCCTAATAAATAGGCCCTTCGACCCCTTCGTAATAAATATAGATCTAGATTCTAGATCTAGATCTAGTCTTACCTTCAGAAAAACAGCTTATGTGCATCAGTCAGACAAATTACTGTAATTCTAGCTGCCTCACGATATGAGAGCTACTATAACTGAATAAAAACATGTGGAGTGAAATCCAATGTGTCAGGCACACGGTTGAACGAACGAAACCAGGAGAACCAATCTCCAATATAAACAGGAAATGGGCATGCATAATCTCCCCTGTAGTTAATATGCATTCTGCACGTAATTTAAAAGGAAAAAAAAAAGAATAATTAAAAAAATAAAGATTTAAACATTAATTTTTCACAGGCTTTAGAGTGATCTAGATATAGATTCTAATATTTACCAGAAATATTCAAAAATAGTTTAATCAAAGTATTTTGTGCGGATCAACTATGTTTCTATGTGACGACGAGTAGCATCAATTATGGCGGACAAACATGTTATTTAGCGCCCAAGGCTCGACCTTAAGACCTACCACTGTTATCGTTCCTATTCCCGGAGAAACCATCTGAAGCAGACACATCTTATTTCCAACATGACTTCTATGATATACGTAAAGAGGCAAGGAGGTTCTGTCAAAATTCATGATAGGGAAGTTGTTGAAAATGTCTTAGGCGACAGGGAAAAGACAAAAACTCAGCTGGACTTGAAGGTAAATATCGACCACTCCTTTCACTTACGTTGTTGTATTCAGTGCGTGTAGTGAAATTAAAACTGTTTGAGAATCTCTTGTGATATCTCTTTATTTGGTGATTGAAAGGCAAATAGAAACTAATGTGCTCAGTAATATAGTAATAGTAGGCCGCTATAAAGAGGGCATATATTAAGTTTTTTCAGTGGGGTTATATTTAGTTCATGGGCAGAAAGGGTAATTATTCTTTCCCTTTTTAAATCAGAGCATTTAAGTTAATCACTATATTGTGAAAAGGAAGTTGGTGCACTGAAACTTCAGATTTTAGAAGTTTACCAATGAATATCGTAGACTATATATACATGCTGATTCGTTGAACTAGATCTAGAAACAACACTTTATATTATATATAATATATCTTTCAAATATCATCAAATTAATGATAAATAAAGTGTACATAGAATATCTTTTTTATCGACTGGCGACATACATTACGACTTTCTTTGTGTATAATATGGTACATCATGGCCAAGTTAACTGTTATATTATATTATAAAAGTGCAACATCATATATTATATATTTATAAATAATATATATTTATATATACACACATATATATATATATATATATATATATATGTATATATACAGTCGAACCTGCCATGACGGCCACCTCTATATATAAGACAGCCATCTGTGCAAACGACCACTTTCCATTTCCCCCCTTGCGTTATATATAATTTAACTGTGTAAAACGGGCACCTGTCCAACGCGGCTGCGGCCACCCTGTTTTATCAACCCAAGGCCAAATCTACCTGCCTAAGGCGGCCAGACATTGTCAATAATTATACATTTTTACCTGACATTGTGTACAAGCCGTCATAATCCATTCACCTGTCATTGTTGTCAGTCCCTCCCATGAGTGAAACGGTCATGTAGCTTAGGTCACTCCCAATGTTTACCCAAGATGACCAATGGGTAACAATAAATTTTCAGCTGTCGGTAAGGGAAGCGTGTGATCCGTCATAACCTATAGGGCCCGCCAACAACTCAGTCCGTAAATCAAGTCCATAACAATGGAAGTCAACTCTAACTCGCGACAGACGTGTTGCTCGTTCGCCAAGTGGTGGCAATCCATTCATTTTTTTTTACTACAACACTTGGCCTTCCTCGTCTGAAACATTTAGTTTTGTTTTGACCTTTCCTTGAACCACAATTTACTAATAAAATGAAACTAACAACAAAAAGTCCCACAAAAATCGTCCTATCCTCTCCACCCTTTCAAAAGAAATAAAACAACAACAACAACAACAACAATAACAACAACAACACATTTTAATGAGCCCTAGGGCAGTCCTAAACATGCAACCACCTCCAGTTGGGACCTCAGGAGTAAATAGTTTTGGTTTTTTAATTTTCATCAGTCTTGCCTAAGACGGCCACCTGTCTTATGCGGCCACTTTTCCACTCGACAGTACGTGGCCATCTTACTCAGATTTGACTTTGTATATAAAATTACTTTTCACTATAATTATATTTTTGCATGTGAATATCAGTGGCGTTTACCTTCCTGTTACAGTCACCCTATGAGTCTCTATTTCTATTGCTGTTGAGTCACTGTTAAACATACTATTTACGAGCAAAGATCTGGCTATGTATAGAGGAAACTCAAGCAGGTTTTGTCTGGATAAGAAAGTTTAGTTATGCAAGCAGCGAGGATGCCCAATTGGCTGGATGTTGCCCTAAAGTACCCGTGGTGTTAAAGATATTTTACTCTTGGTATGAAATCAATACTATTTTGTTTTAAACATACTCTTATTTCTCTTAAAACATATGGTGACACATATTTACAATTGCAGATTAGGACAGCAGGCAGATACAATTGTAATTGTTTAAGACGGTCACCCATTGTCAAGGAGAAAAGTGGTGATCTTAGACAGGTGCACACCGTACACAGCATCATTACAATGTAAAACTATCATCATCGTTGCCTTTCTCCCCTGCATCAGGGTATAGGCCACGGAAAAACACCTTCCACCCTTCTCTATCCTGGGCTAGCTTCTTGATGTTATTCCATGTCTTCCCACTTTTCTGTTAAACATATATATAAGGGCAGAAATGGTCAGTGACCATTTGTACCGGCGATTGTCTTATACAGGTACTTGTTTCAGCAAGTTTTACTGTACCTGATTAAGAGTGACACGTTACTGCCTTGGCAGTGCTTTCCTGACCATGAGCCCACTCCATAATCACAGAAATATGAAACATCAATATGGAGCAGTTCATAAGAAAAACTATTACCTGTTGTTACAGAGCAGTGCCCAACACGCTACTGCTATACTTGCAATCAAGGAAAGACTTTATTCATACCTCCCCCCCACCCCCCACCCCAGCCTCTCTCCCTACCCCAACCCATTTCCTTTATATTAATTTCAAAGTAGAAATAATCCATTCCATCGATGGAATTTTGAAGATAATCATTGACATATCAGTTATATTTTCCCTACAAATTGGAAATATTTCAGTCTCTGTATCAACACATGTTGAATGTATTTCTTTTAGAAATCAAGGCGGCAACCGAGAAAGTCCGATGTCCGAGTGTCCTCTGCTCCAGACACAGCCTCCACTAGCAGTGCTGACTCCAAAGGTCTTCTCAATCACTCAGTGAGGGTTCAGGACTGGCTGAATGAAAAGACTATCAAAGAATTGCAGGTACCTGCACTAGCAAGTAATCTGTGCACAGTGCTGCAATCTTTTATCCAAATAATGATTCTTACTTTGAATTCATGAAAAAACTTTTGACTTCTGGAAATAGTTTTATTGAATTACAAAACCTCATAAGATAACCACAAGTATTAATAATAATAAAATATGGAACCTTGTACTGTTGTCTGAGGCAAGCACGTGGGGAGGTAAAAAGATTTAGCAATGTTTAACAATTTAAAACACCGAGCTGAAAAGTAGATTATAACTGTAATGAGTTCTTCATCTAGCATATTAAGTTGTCTGAAATAGTTAATGATATTACGCAATCAAATAATTATTCATTGTTTTTATTACAGGAGAGAGCAGATCATGAGAGTCATGCAGCTAAAAGACTCTACACACCTTTACTGGAGACAGAGGCAACCTTCGTAAAGGTGACAAAATAAATCATTTTCTTACATGGTGAATGAAAAGTTAGTCTATTTTCAAAAGTCTTTTTTTTCAAAATAATCTGTAAGTGTTGAGATAAAACTATGTTTTGAACATTGTGCAAAAAATATTACTCCTTTTCTTTCATTAAACATCACTAGAATATTAAGTGTAACAGAACACAGCACTACCACATATTCAAACTAATATTTCGAAGGAATACGAACTCCTACCTGTGGTGCTGGATACCTTTTATTTGTTAGCTAACAAGAGTAGTGCCTAGTTGATTTTCCGTAAAGTGGGTTGACTTTGGCTCTGTCCGTTCCTCTTCCCTCTCTCTCGTCTGACTGTTCATGACAGGCCGTGAGTGACCGACTATATATAAGCCCACGTGACCTTCCCTTGCACAAGACCTTCGTGCTCGGAGCAAATCTCAATTAACCTTTTCACCGGCCAGTTTGCCTGGAAGGCTGTCAAATTTTAAGAAAAGTGTCCTAGTATCCACAACATGAAGTGTCATGTAACTTGATCCTTCACAAGTTAGTTTTACTTCTCTTAACCATGCATGGTATATCTCATCTTCTCTAGGACGTTGGTGAGTATCTAGCTCATAAAGATCTGGTGGATTTGAGGAAAAAAGAAGTTCTTCACAAGCGTTGGTCAGACCAGGTCTATGAGCCAATCAGGAGGAAGATTCTTGAGGCTATTGATGGCACAGAGTGGACTCACTTGGATCGTCGTAAGAGGGAAATGCATCGGCAGTTCTTAGAGCATGTAAATAAAAGGGTAAGCTACATATAATATAAACATGCTGAGCACTGCACATTTTGAATTATTATGTATGTTTCAAACTGAGGAATCTTAAAGATGACTGTTAGATAAAGAGTTGTACAGTGATAGTTGATGTTCTTGTAACCTTTTCCATAGAAGGTTCACACCTTCTCACTAAAGATGTTTTAGATGACTTGATTTTTTTCCCAGATTCTCCTCTTCATCCCTCAGAAGGAATTTGGCATTACCACCAGTTGAGCATGTTCTGGGTTTTCTTTAGTACAGTCGACAATGGATGAGTTGATGTAGTAGTAGGAGTGAAAAAAAGATCAACTCATCTGAAGTTCAATTTAACCATAGGGACCTGTAAAGAAGAAGAGATACTGGGACACGAGAAAAAAATCAACTTAACCAAAGATCAACTCAAGTGAGTTTGACACAAACGGAGTTGATTACATTATCAAACATTGCTCTATGTGAACCTCAAAACAATCTGTTTCTTGTCTTTTTCCGTGAAGGGCTTCGTGTTCCTGGAAGACGACGACCGGGAGGAATACTATGCCCAAGCTCTCAATGACCACAGACCGGCACCAATAAAGGTTAGCATTGTGGACAATAAGAAAGGAAAACAATGACTTATCTTTACCATACCATTACTATTTGTTTCAAATTCATTTTACAAACCAAATATTCAATTATGTCTTATTCTTCTCTTCCTATACATTATTTATCAAATCTTCCTTATATCATCATCATGAACTGCTTGGTCTAAAGCAGATATTTATCTATCATAGTTTGCCACTTTTTTTCTCTGCTCTGAAACTCTATATGAACCTTGTATGACACTCATATGTGAGGCAACCTGTTGGAATCAGGCTCTCGTCAAAATAAGCAAAGTGAAGAAACTTGTGTTTTTTTTTTCAGGTTTGTGAATTTGTTGTTTTTTGGCGCAACACCTTTCATGCCCGTTAAAGAACTCTTTTCGGTGTTGATTTTTCTGAAAAACGCTGATTAAAGGTACAATAAATATAAATTTTCAGTTGCCACAGACTCTTAAGCTAAGGAAATAACAAATCTTTGGCGGCTATTTTCTCACTAATTTTACCTCTGAAAACAGGTGATCCCACCACCTTCATTTGCAAATATCAAGACTTGTATTCAAGATAAATAGATATTTTTTAAATCCAAATATAGACAAATGAACAAGCTTTAAGATGATATCAATAACTCCACATGCCCAAAAATTGACGAGAGCCTGATTCCACGGCGTCGTGACACATATAAGATGCACTTTAATGAAAGGAAGAGAAAATTGAGAGCAATATTTCTCCTTTATCACCAGATTCGCACAGAAGCTCTAAAAGACCCCTTATTGACCTTAGGGAAACAGAAGTCAGAGGAAGACCGCATTGTATTGAGATGTATGACTGGACAACGTTACACAGATAATGATCTTGATCAAGTGAGTATAGACTGACAATTGAGAGCAAAATTGCCTCAAGGGCCGAAATTGCCATAATTTAGGAAATAAAGAAATGCAACAATATAATGAAATTGTGCATAGCTTTTACAACTTAAACAATAGATCCAGCATGAAAACATAAAGGTAAATTAGAAAGAGGGAGTTTATTACATATTTCAAAAAGCTGAACATTTCTTGGTTTTTACAAGTGAAGAGATATGACTTCAGTGCTTCGCTGTACCTTTCTCGCATGGAAGATGTGTCTATGAAACAGAAGACACTGAAACTCTTGCCCATGAAAGTCTTTGCACAAATACAGTTTTATCTGGAAAGAACTTGATCACATTATTTGCCTGACCCGGGCTTAAAACTCAGAACCTGTGTTCATCGAATTTTGATTGATGTGGCTACATGAGCTGCTCACTGTAGGCCTATATCATCAGTGAATGTCTAAAAAAAAAGTAGGCTTTTTTCCTGAATAGTTTGTGCTAATTGTGCCTTTCTTGCTTGTTTGGGCTAAAGAGAAAATAATGCTTTTGTATTCCTTGAAGTAAATGAAACATTATTTTCTTATTGTTTTTTTGAGAGCAAAATAACAAGGTGGCCATATATTCGCTCACAGCATAAAAAGGGGAGAGAACTTAGGAACTCTAGTTACAGTTTAGGGTGATATTACTCTGTAGCAGTTACTAGAGTTCCGATGTTACTCTTGTAACAATTTGTTTTTAGTAGTGCACATATTAGATTGGACTCTCATTACACTTAACTCTGTTACTGATGTTAAAGGCTCTAAAAGACTCACTTCGAAAACTTATAATTTACAGAAGCAACATGAACAATGGTGATACCATTTAGTATTGTTAACCAGGGTCCTTTTACCCTCTTTTTCGTCTTAAAAAACAAATGTCAACAACATAAATAAGAATTCACATGAAAACTGATAATTTCTTAACAATGTATTGGTCTTTATATTCATGAGCAAAGCATTTCTCTGTCAAAAATGTGCTTTTGAAAAAGATGTGATTGAAAGGCTTGAAGTAAGTCCTTGCAGTCTAACCCTCCGACCTCTTTCAACCTCTTGCAATATGTTACTCTAACTGACCATATGTTGTATCTGTGACATATACTGACCCCAACGGTCTACCCCTCCCCGGTGTGCTGTAGGTGAGGCTGCCCCCGCTCCCACTGGTCCCCCTCGGACGTCACGGTGTGAACAGCTGCAAGTGGCTGGAGATGCCCTTGAGTAACATCGAGAGCGAGTCCAGAGAGAGGAGCAGGTAGTTATTTTCTCCATATTTTTATGGCTGTGTCTGAAAGTTATTCCAATTCTTAATCAGTGCTGGCGTGTAACTTCCTGAACACTTTGGATAGCACATGACAGTGTTTCTGTTCTTACTACAGTATTGAGAACATGGAGATGTGTATTCAAAGATATGTGTCAATATCATATTTGTATGCAGAGAAAAATGAATTTTATTGTACATGTATTAAGTCCAGAAATTTCATTTTGAGTGCCTAAAATGGGTGTATGTTTTTGGGTTTATGATGATTGTGGCAATTAAGTTGCAATATTCTACTAACATATGCTTTCAGCGGTATGTGTATTTGAAAGAATTTCTTTGGTAATTTACTAATTCATCATTCTTTTTACATTTTGCTACAAATCTAAAGGCAAAAATGCAGAAGTAGAATGGAGGTAAATGACCCGTTTTCTCAGGTATTGGCTCTCTAGCACAAAATCATCTACTCTTTGGTTCACATTTTGCCCTTATGTTTTTTCCCAATAAAAGGATTGAAGGTTGGAAACTGCTTTTCTGTCATGTAGAAATTTCAAAGGGTTTGTCTTTCTTTGTTTTCATAATCATGCACCCCAAATTTTGGTTTAGGTGGTGGAGGTACACCCACTTTACAAATGCCCAAGATCATCTTTCTCTGACTCTGAATGTCAGACCAACCTCTCTGTAGTTTTAAATAGCTAATGGTCTGGTTCTTCCCATGTCTCTGTCCTCCCACCTCTGTCCAGTGGAATTAGGGATGCTTGTTATTAATGACTCGTACTTTCTCATTTCAAGTAAACGAAGGCAGCTTTACAAGGCTAGGTTAAAACCCCCAAGGGTAATGAAACTGAAGGTAAAATTTAAGCTGCTGGCTATTTTTGTATAATCCTTGCCAGCTATTTAGATTTATTGTGTACATATGCCGAGATAAATTGTTTGTGTATTAGAGCCAGCAAATGATTATAAGCTTAGGCTTCTTCATTTTTCACCCTGTAGAAATTTTTGTACAAGAGCACTGTAATCTACACCTACTTCCTTTAACTTTTATTTTACTTCAGGACTGGTACTGGTATTTAAATTTTGGTTTTTTTCAAATATTTGTGTTGCAGATTTTTCCTTGGCCTAGTGCCATATAATCTTCTTAAAAATGTTTATAAACAGAACGAGTTTTAATATTTCTTTCTTTGCCGCGATACCCCCCAAAAAATTATTTTTTTAAATTGACAGGCTTACTATAAATGGGCCTTTGAAAAATTGTGTTGAAACTGGGAAAAATATCACTGTGCATGATGCAAGTACTGTTTTATAAGTGAAAAGGAAACAAAAATATGTTTATTTTTTTAAATTTTTTTTTGGGGGGGGGGGGGGGG